TGCTTATCTAATTCCCTTTTGAGGCCGTCCATGCTTGTAGCCGCCACCACTTCCTGTGGCAGTGAATTCCATGTGTTAATCACTCTTTGGGTGAAGAAGTACTTCCTTTTATCCATTCTAACCCGACTGCTCAGCAATTTCATGGAGTGCCCACAAGTTCTTGTACTGTGAGAAACGGAGAAAAGGACTTCTTTCTCTACCTGCTCTACCCCATGCATAATCTTATAAGCCTCGATCCTGTCACCCCTCAGTCGTCGTTTCTCCAAGCTAAAGAGCCCCAAGCGTTTTAACCTTTCTTCATAGGGAAAGTGGTCCAACCCTTTTATCATTCTAGTTGCCCTTTTCTGCACTTTTTCCAATACTATAATATCCTTTTTGAGGTGTGGTGACCAAAACTGTACACAGTTCTCCAAATGAGGTCTCACCATTGATTTATACAGAGGCATTATGATACTGGCTGATTTGTTTTCAACTCCTCTGCTCATTGCAACATTTGTGCTTTTGATATCTTACCAAAAACACAGTGTTAAGCAGATGAATATTGAGCAAATCTCATTCATGAATAGGGTGTGCTTTGTTCTGGTGTGACGGTTAATGGCCAGTTATACGGATCTCCTCCTTCTTCTCCCCTAGTATATCAAGGAGGCCTTTATGTGCTCTGACTTTCGAGATCCCAGAGACTAATAATTTGGCTACATGAGAACTCTTGTATTTTGGAGTTGGGAAGGAGTGGTCTGGGCGGCGACTAGAGAACAGGGTCTTTTTAGTAGTGACACCTTGCCTTTGGAATGCTGTCCCTCTATCTTCCAGATGAATCAGCAATCCTTGTATTTGGTTAACCTCCTTTGTGGTATGTGCCTTGGCTTGCTGGTTTGAGACATACGATTTAAGAGTATATTTGACTCACTTGTCCCTGCTTGTGGCACCCCATGATCTAAGTTTTATGTCCTCTGATTTGGGGGCTTGAGTGGGTGGGGACTAGGAAGGACAGGAGGAGACAGTCCTTTGAGGGCCCCCAGTGGCATGGAGCTGGGATCCTAAAAGCAGAAACCATTGTTTTCAATTGGGCCTGGAAACAGGCGAACAGCCAGTTTAAGTCTAAGCGTGGGATTTCTTCCAAATTCCTCTTCCAGTTCCGTAACTCCTTGCACCTGCTCATGGAGACCCTGAACGCCACCACTCCGCATTACGTACGCTGCATCAAGCCCAACGACGAGAAACTTCCCTTCAGGTAAGCACTGCTTTCGGATGAGGCGTTGACAGGTGATTGAATCATCTGTAGTGGTGTTTGTGTCTTTTAAAAAAACCCTCTTATCCCCCTACACACTGTGAAGTATTTGCAGCTCGGGTGTCACTTTGTGATGTTTTAAAATCCTTGTCCTATTCCTTTGCTGAAATTCGCCATGACCTTTATGGCCAGGATCCTGTATACCTAAGGGACCGCCTTTCCCCATATGTTCCCCAAAGGACACTGCGGGTCAGGGACTCAGAACTGGCTGGCCCCCCCAAGCTTCAAGGAGGCCAGACTGGTGGAAACTAGGGCCAGGGCTTTTTCGGTGGTGGCTCCACTCTGGTGGAATGAGCTCCCGGAAGAGACTAGGGCCTTGCGGGACCTTTCACACTTCCGCAGGGCCTGTAAGACGGAGCTCTTCCGCCAGGCTTTTGGAGCCGCCACCATTAACAACCACTAACACCTCCACCGACAAAAATTAATACCTACTTTGGCGGAGCCCTGGCCCCTTAGGTCCCTCAAACACAGCCCGTGCCAATTACCTGAGATAGTCAAAGAAGGCAGAAGACCCAATTGAGATAATGCGGATGTTGCTAGCACTTTATCTTGTTTGAATTTTAATGTCGTATTTATTAATGAATGTGATTTTATTATGATTGTTTTATGCAAATTTTATTGTTGTAAGCCGCCTTGAGCCGGCCTCGGCCGGGAGGGCGGGATAAAAAATGTAATAATAAAAATTAAAATAAAATGACTGTTTATGAAACAGGAACTTAAGTCGGTGAGGACAGAACTCGTATATGCCCCAGAGAGCCTTGCGCTCCACTGAACAACACCTACTGGTAGTCCCTGGCCCAAAGGACATCCACTTACCCTCAACCAGGGCCAGGGCCTTCTCTGCCCTGGCCCCCGCCAGATGGGACACACTCCCTATTGAGATCAGGGCCCTGTGAGTCACTTGCTACAGTTCCACAGGGCCTGAAAAGTGGAGCTGTTCTGCCAGGCCCTTGGTTGAGGCGGTGGATGTTTTTACTATCTCGACCTCCCCTGCCAGTAGTAGGCCCAGGGGTCATTTCGTAGAAAAAGAGGTGCAGGAGCTCTTTAGCATAACTCATTAGCATCACTTATTTGCATATGCCACACCCCCTGACATCACCGGAAGGGTGTCAGAAGGCAACACCCACCGCTCAGGCTCCACTGGACTGTTTTGGATTGCTAGATATTGGGGGGGAGGAAACGTGCAGATCTGTCCTCGCAGAGGAGGGAGAGCTTGTACCTGAATAAAACTTGGTCTTAAAGGTGCCACTGGACTGTTTTGGACTGCTAGCTATGGGGGGGGGGACACACGCAGATCTGCCCTCACAGAGGCGGGGGATAGAGCTTGTACCTGAAGGTGGGCTGGGGGGGGGGCTCTGCAACTTACCTGGCTGCTTCTTGCTCCTCATGGCCCAACTGAGGGCTGCTGGGAGCAGGGGGCAGGGCTTGTTGCATGTGCCCACCCCCTGGGCTCCCTACTACCGGAGCTCCGCTCCTGTGCGCTCCCGCAGGAAACAACCCCTGAGTAGGCCTACAGAAGCCTCCTATCCTACAGACACCCAACAGAAAGTGTATTAGGCTGCTCCGGAATGATGTTATTTTTTGCTGCTGCCATCCCATTTTTATTTAATTGGTTTTTAAATTGTGTATTTATTGTTTTATCTCTGTTGTGAGCCACCCTCAGCCCATCATGGGACAGGGCGGGATATAAATGCAGTAAATAAATAAATGGTGGGTGCTGATCAGAATGGACTGCGCTAGGCTAAATCGAGTCCTGTCCCACTTTGGTGTGAGGCAGCTGCTTGTCAACGCAAATTGGAATGGGTTCAAGGGAGGGTGACGAAGATGGGTCACAGGTCTGGGAAAGAGACGTCCTGTAAGGAAAGGTCAAAGAACCTGGGTACACCTGAGCCTGGAGGAGAGAAGACAGAAGGGGAACATGCTAGGTAAAGGGTAAAGGTTTCCCTCGCTCGAAAGCCAGTCGAATCCGACTCTAGGGATGCGGTGCTCGAGCCAGCGCTGTCCGAAGTTGTTTCCGTGGTCATGTGGCCGGCATGACTAAATGGCGAGGTGCACGGAATGCTGTTACCTTCCCACCAAAGCGGTCACTATTTATCTACTTGCAATGTCTTGCTTTCAAACTGCTAGGTTGGCAGGAGCTGGGGCCAGAGACGGGAGCTCACTCCATCATGCGGCACACTCGGGTCTCGAACTGCCGAACTATCGACCTTCTGGTTGGCAGTTCAGCATCTTAACCACTTGAGCCACCACACTCTTCAAGGTGTTGACCAAAAGAGAACAAACACCTGTTCTCTTCTGCCCCAGAGGACGAGACGAACGGGCTTCTATTGCAGGATGGCAGATTTAAGTTGAATATTAGGAGATACTTCCTAACGGTGGGCGTGGTTTAACAGTGGACCAGAGTGAGGGGAGGCACAGACAATGCTTTAGGCTAGAGGTCTTCAAGGGCTAGACAGCCACCTGTCAGGGGTGCCCTAGGTCTGGATGTCTTGCAGTGAGCAGGAGGGTTGGACTAGATGGCCTCCGCAGGACCCCTCCCAGCTGATTCTGCATCATTCTGTGTGCCCCGTAAGGCCATTCCAGTGCCATCATGACATCCTCTGTGTATTCATTCACTGCGGTGGGCACCAAAGTGTTCCTATGGGAGAATAAGAATGTGTCTCACAGGGGCTGGCATTCTTCTGCTGGCAGCGCTGCTCCCTTAACAATACAATATAGTTTCACGCCATATAACCACCGCCATAGAGAGCGTATGCCAGAAAGTATGTGTTTCGAGGGGGTTGTGTGTATCTTCCAGTGATAAATTACGGGAGCAAGCACCCAAATCCTTTGCAGAAGCAAATAAAACAGCCAGTGATTTCTCTGTAACACAATGAAAAAAAAGCAGGGCTGTTATTTATATGTGTTACGAGAAGGCATTCAGTGGGAACGTTAAAGGAGCGGGAAAGGATAATTCCTATCGGCAGATGCTGCAGCAGAATTTCTGCTGGGTGGGCTCCTCGTTCTCATTTGATAATGTGCTTATCTTTATTGGCCTCATGCTGGTGTTTCTTTGGGACAAATTCTTCAATATTGTTGCAGTCGGCGGACAAGTCCCTACTACTTCAAAGGAAGACTTCTGCGGTTCCTTTATCCTGTTAGATCACTGAATTGTCCCAGGGCTTGAATTGGCATATCTTCTGATGGTCCCATGCAGGGCTTTTTTTGTAGAAAAAGCCAAGCAGGAACTCATTAGCATAACAGGCCACACCCAACAGCAGGCACTCATTAGCATACTAGGCACAGCACATTAGCATATTAGGCCACACCCCCATGTTACCAGAAGTGTGGTCATCCAGCCACACCCACCTTTTGCTTCTTATTCTGTTTACTTTGTTGTCAAAACCCAGAGGTTTTTTTTGTAGCAGGAACTCCTTTGCATGTTAGGTCACACACCCCTAATGTAGCCAATTCTAATGCGTTTC